GTTTTTGAGTTTTCCAAATACAATAAGATATCACATAACATATTAAATATTTATAAACATAGTACAACACTACTTTGAGGGGAGTGAGGCATAGTTAGCTAAGTGTAGAGTACGTGTATATTTTTACACATTATATTTTACAGACGATATACAATATTATGAAATATGAATGCAATTCAAGAGACTCCACACCCGCATGTCACCAAACTTACAATTATACGTTCACACACTTAATTTTGTTATTTTTTAAAATCTGAGTGAAAAAACCTATTATATAATTTAAAGGTACTATTATTACCCAAGACATCTGGGAGACTTTTATTGTTATTTTAATTACGCAAGTAATATAAACATTGTAAATATGTATTTTTTTGTACATTTTAAAATTAAAATATCATAAAAGCCTCTGAGGTGCCCTAGATGATAATCTTTACATTTTATAATAGGTCAATCATTCTAATTTAAAAAACCAAAGAGTAAAGTAGATTGTTGTTTAGTAGTTTGTTAAGTTCTTGGTTTATAAGGTGGAGACAACATGAGTGGTTATAATAATTCTTCAAATTTTTTAAACTAGATTTTTTCAAACTTCAATCGATCAGTAGTATTTTTTAACACCATAAAAATAAAGCTGAATAAGTGTTTTCATAATAATATGCCGACATGTATTAATTAGTGACTTTTACGATTTTCTGATTTCATCACGTTAGTTTGGTTCACTGTAGTGTACGGACAGATTTTTATTTTGTATTTGAACAACTATCATCTTTCATCGGATAAAATAAACAATAAATTTAAAATTGTGTTTGTTATTTCATTATTTGCTTCAAATTATATTTTATCCAAATGCATAAATAAGTTTCAATAGCAATAAGTCGTATCCAATGTAATTATCTGAACCATTTACTGTTTTTTTTCCTTAAACATTTTAGAATAATTTTCCGCTATTGAAGACCTCGAAACAAGACTTTTGATTAAAAAATTGAAGAAACTTCAAAACAATTTTCTTAGTCCTATATTACAGTCGTGCATTGTGTATTTTGTTTTACCTATTGAAGAAAGTGTATTACATTTAAAATTAAAATTAAAAACAAAAACTAATACATAAACTATACAAACGAGCATACCAATAAATTATTTTCAATAATACAAATATACAGTTATAGGTACAACTAAACCTTTCAGTAAAAATAATTTCAAAGTCAGATTTAAGAATTTATATTTTTTAATCGGAAAATCGCTCATAGCACTATAATCACCCCAGGTCTCACACATACATACTTTTTGAGACAATGATTTCAATTTTATCTTTTTCATTTAAAGATACAGATGTCTACTGGTTTTAATGGATATAATAATATCATTATGTACATAATAAAGATTTTACAGTGTAAATCAAGTCAAATAATTTATTGTTAATATTATGTTGCGATATACTATAGGTAGGTGATAAAAACTTTTATTGATACCATTCGTTATTTTACTATATTATATTATACGTTATATAAGAAAATCTATTTAATGTTTGAAATCATTTTCAGTACGCCCCCCCCTTCCACCTCTAGAACGCTGGACATTAAAAACTAACACTATTATTCCAGTCTCCGATATTCTATTTTCATAATGGGATACTTCTGCCTCTGCGATGAGCGTTATTTTAATTGTATTATATTTCTAACCTAAACTTGCATCTATGATAGGTAGTTAATATTTATCGATTAGTAGAATTAATCGATTTAAATGTCCTTCAAATGTAATTATTTAAGAAGTGTGTTATGATTCGACATAGACTTTTGGGACCATACATTATTTTGTACTCGTGACCTTTTAACCAAACCGCTAATGGAATCCGACTACAAATAACCGCATTGTGTGTTCGGGTGGTTTTTATTTTGTGACAGAACCGCAACCGTAGGTATATACTGTCAACAAAATACCTACGGCCCGGCGATCCGTTGAAGACGTATTGTATAGATAAAACCGCTTCGTTTTATCGAAATATGACGTCGGGAGAAAATTATTGTTTGCCGTCCGTCGAAAGCGTATATTGTACAATAATATATGTGTGCTTGATATACGCAGGAATATATGTATATAAAAAGAGCACTCACAGGAGACGGATTATTTGTTTAATAATATAAAGTAGCATGCACATAGAGAGACCTATAGTTCGATTGTACCTTAGACCAACGTCTAAAATGGTACACAATATTATGTCAAACGTGAACACTGAGGAATAAACTTTCGCTTGAAGAACTTCGCGTATAACTACAAGCTTATAATACTTTGTCCACAGATCATAAATTATGCTGTACCTAACCGAACATTAGAAGATATTACATTGTACGATGAATGGGATTTAAATACCAAAACCCATTAGTTATGAATATAATATTATAATATACTTAATGCGTAGAAGTTATAAAGTTTTTATACATTCATTTTTCAATACCAACGTGCATGACATATGTCACGTTGTTCGAGTAAGACATAAAACGCATGTGATTTTCTTTTGGAATGAATTTATTCTGAAACGATACGAAATATAATACTCTTTAAATCGCATAAGTCATAAATCGGTTCCATACAGGGGATATACAAATCGTATAATAGTTGTAATGATATTGGTTTTGGAAACCAACAAGTTTAACAATCAAGAGTACCTATACATGTTAGAAACGTTAGAGTATATTTAATTTACTTACGAAAAAATTAGAAATTTTCATTAATATCGACATCAAAATAAAGATCTACTTTTTAACTCCAGAGAGAAATTAAAATTAATAATGTAACCTAGTATGGAGTTTTGATCAATGTGAAATTATATTTTAATTTTTAATTGAACTAAAATATCCTTACAAGCAACTTTTTTCAACAATTTGCTTTTCAGTTAATATTATTAATATTCAGTCGTTGCGATAGCAATTAAATCATAAGTTTAAAATAACTTGATACAAAAAGTTGAAAAGTTGATAATATTTTTTAATAATGATTATGTCGAAAAAAAAATAACAATATTTGAAATGAAAATGTAATATTTCTAATTTAAAATCATTAACTGATGTAATTTTTATATTATCGACATAAAAGATAAATCCAAATTTTTGTGTAATAATTTAAAAAATAAATATTTAACCCGGCATAGAAGTTTTATATTAGTGCTAATATTTAGTTAACATCTTTAGAAGGATCATTATGAGAATGAGTTGAGTAGAGTGGCAAGACAACAATTGGTCGAGGACGTCAACATACCTCGAACTCCAAAGTGGAAAAATTGTATAAAATGTAATGTATCTAACACATTTTAGTACTACTTTTTTCTAAGCTTCAATAGCCAAAAATATTTGACATTTTAAAACTATAAAATATAAGCCACTAGGCTCAGATAAATGTTTTTACAATCAAACGTTTTCGAAAAACCAGATTTACAAATTGGCTATTTTGAATTTTTCAAAAAAAAGTTATCAATTTCTAATTTTTCAATATGAAAAATAAAATAAAAAAATATTATATTATACATGCAGCACAGCCGTTATTGAATTATGCATAAAAAAAATTAAAAAATATTGATTAAAATATGTACATCATGAATTGAAAATAAATTATAAATATATATAATTTATTATTGAAACTTCGAAACTATACACAAACATAACAATTTAATTAATATATCAAGGACAGACCTGCAATGCCATACCACGGTATAATAATGAAATCCAAATTTCATCACTTAAGTAATTGCGTTTCATAAGCCAAAGTATGAAACAAAAGCCAATCAAAATGACGTGTATAAGTATTTGATGTGATAATTATTTGTTCGTCTTGTTTAAAGATAGGTATGACGTAATATTAAAAATTTTAAAACAACGTAATTTAAAACACGATTGTAACGTAAAATAAAATCTTTTGCCGATAAACTATAAATTACTAATATCAACATATTATGTGCTATCATAATTAACTAATAGTATGAATAAGTGTAATGCTTTAGACAGATTTCAAGTTAAAAAAATTCGTCTTGCTCAATACATTATTATAACGGTTTGTTAGTACAGTCATATTTTTATCATTCGAAATGAATAATTGAATCGTCAATATCAGCCACAAGTGCCTTTTATCAAACTACTATTATAGACACCAATCTGCATAAGACTTGAAAAACTTTTTAAAAAAAAGTGGTTACTTAAAAATTCATAAGACAAAAGTTTCAATAAGCACAAGGGTAAAAAATCCATCTCTATTTGAGTATTGGATACAAACATTTTTTTTGTTACCTTTATTCACGAGTACAACAGAAAGTAATAAAATTCGGGCAACCATAATACAAAAAGGTGTGTAAAACGTTAAACGCTTATGCACAAACGACGCCGTTAACCGATATGTGGTTTCGATACTTTTATTAGAAAATGGGTAAAAGGCGTCTCGGACGTTTAAATCATTCAAATAATTGAAAATGAAATTCAGTAACGAATTTGTGGTATACGTTTAATCAAACATTCAACACTGTCTACAAGATTTTAACATTCTTTAAAGCGCCTTTAGAAAAAACAAATTTTTACTAACACAGCTTCACGTTTCGGGTTTTCTGAATATTTGAAAAAATTAATCATAATTTTTCCGAGCTCCATGACCATTGACTATATTACATTATATTATTACAACAACAGCTACAGTAATCGTAAACATCAAACAGATGGTCTCATTCTCGTCTGACATTTTCGTTGAATTTGATCATTTTAAACGACTGAGGCCACTCTCTCTGTGCAGTATATATAGTTGACTTTATAACTGTTAAGATATGTACTGTACCTAAACATATTGAGTTAGATATTTAACTATTTGTTTATGACTTGTCGACAGATCGTTTGTAAATCGACGATAATCGATGTTTTCTGTTCGATATTGAAATGTCTTGTCTTGCAGAACAAAACAATAATTGAAATAACGATAATTCAAAAATAATAATTTCCGGTATCTCGGGCGTCTGGTGCGCATACACATACCTCAGAACCGGCAGCAGTAACAGTATCCGTTTGGCGCTTCACCTCGGACACCAAAATCCGTCGGAAAAAAAAATAATAATAACGAAAAAATTTCTAATTAAATATTAACAACGAAAACCGGCAATCACGAAATTAATATATTAATAACACTGCTGTTTGGATCTCGCGAAACGATCCGATTCATCATTTCCGAGGTTGTCGTCAGAGTTCCGTTCGCATCGGCGGACTGTAATCGACAGCGACGGCGGTGGAGTCTCTAAGCGCGGCCAACGTGTTCGCGAGCGGCGCTTACCGACTACCCTCGTCGTCGCCTGGCCCGACCATCGCCGAACGAATGACGATGGGGTGTGTGTGTGTGTGTGTGTGTGTGTGTGTGTGTGTGTGTGTTAAGTAAAACATTTTTAGTTGTAACTTTTACAACTTCAGGGTATTTATGTTTTGTTTTTAATTTTTTATTGAAAGAAAAAATTACAATCTGTTTTATTTTTTATTTTTAAACAACACTATTAACCACGAAGACTAACGCATATAATGACGTTATACAAGATGACAACAGTTGCACATTTTAAAAATAATAATGCATTTTTTTTTTAACTAAATTGATTTAAGCACTGAACAACCAAATACACACGTCGAACACGGAAGTCGTTGAACACAGCCATGATGTTTTCAAAAAAAAAAATATTAGATAATTTTAAGAGTTTCGTGTAGAGACGAAAAAATGGGTTATTTTTTAACCATATTTCAGATATCGAATTTGTACGTACCTTGTGAAATCCTCACAGCTAGGTAACAATTGTATTATTAAATAGTATTGTACTATTTAAATTTTGATATAAATTTCTAAGTTTGAATGTTGAATAAATGACTGTTGAATCATAATATTCAAGCCATGTACTACATTTTGTATTATCTATCTAAAATATCTTTACGATCTAAACAGATAATTGTTTTTCGATAATGTTTTAAATTTCGATTAGTGATTATAGTAAATATCATAATTTAATGAATTTATCAATTTAGGAAAACACAACATGCCTATAATATTATTGTAAAAAACTGAATCAATCATTGAATTTAAGTGAATTTGGAGAGGTATAGTAATATTTTGTCGACAATTATAATTGTATTTGGGATGTGGTGATGTGTAGTCTACTATTTCTTCTAGTATTTCATAGTCAAAAATCAAAATATCGATGATCGTGAACGGTGTTAATTGTCGATTAGTGAGTTTCGTCAATTCGACTCCAACGGTGTTCAATTTTAACAGAGCGCACAACCCTTAAATACTCCGAAATATATTAACATCACTTACCGGATAAAGTATCTATACTAAAATTATTATGAGCTCATAATTTACTACATAGATATCTACCTAAATATTTTAGACGAAGATGCATTTACACTTTTTTAAACAAAAAACGTATATAATAATATTATAATGCATGGACTGGAAATTACTTTTACTTCGACTTCCAGAGGAAAAATATTTATTATTCTGTATTTTATACCACTCTTCAAAAATAACATCACCGTTTTTTTTTTTAATCAAAATAACGATAATTGTATTATAATATAGGCATATTAATATTACAATATAATCTCATTAGTATAATTGTGTTTATGTTCAATATCAGAGTAATATCAAAATTTTAACAATTGTTTTATGGCGTTTTTGTGCCATTGCGCAAAGTGAGGGACCGAGTTAGCCTTAATTTATTTTTCATAAGTCAAAGCGTATACCTTTTAAATTAATTAATCTCTAAACTCGGAGGACGGCGATAGATGTTTGTCTTTATTCTAGGTTGTATTTGAATTTTCTTTTCTTTTCGAGTCTCCGAAGATGAATTTCTATGTACATTAACAATGATACGCGACACTGATTTTTAAACAATTAATTTATCACCGTCCATTCTCAATAACGAGTAGGCCTAATGTTCATAAACAGCTGAGATTTACGGCCGGATTATATAAACAACGCGATGTTGATATTTGAAAGTTTAGAGTTATACTTGAAAATCTTCCCAATCTTGAAGCGAGACGTCTAAACTACAGTAAAGTTATCTTTTTGGTGAAAAACACGCGAGGTATTTTATATATTAAACGTGTCATAAGACACCACTATTAATAATAAAATATTATATTATATATTACGTTGGTGTCTTGGAGATTCCAAGGAAAAAAATAAGTCATCTCGAGATCAAGTTTAAGGTATTATAAGATGCAATCTTCGAGGAGGAAAAATTTTAAGGGGGAAAAAAATTCTAAAGTTCTCCAGCTCACTGTAGTGCAGCTCCGGCCAGCTTTATAACATTAATAATATAATGCAGTTAAAAGTAAGTAGTAAGATATTCAATAAAAATATGGTGAAACCTACACAATTAAATTCCCAATAATTTCCCAAACTATCATCAAATGAAAGAGAACAAGGCCAATGGGTGTAATGGGAGGGAAAGCTACATATGCCCCACCCCGCCCCCTACAGGGTCACATTCGGTTTATCAGGCCCCGGTAACCTAACGCAACCTAACGCGTTGGATATACGACGAATTATTGTTGTAGTTTAATATGAATGCATTCATACCTAGCGATGAATTATTTATTTTTTTCATCATGTTCTAAGATAACAAAAAACAATATATTATCAATACGTATTCATATTTCAACACACGAGATATTTATTCCCTTGCTAGGTACCTATTAATAGATTCATCGATTCTTAAAAACGATTTTTATTATCTTTCATCGTCTTCGAATTTCACTGTTCGTATAATTTATATACTATGTAAGTATACGAATATTTGATACAGAAACTCGAGTGCATCGACCATCGATTAATTATTATTATGTCTTATATATAGGTATTACTATTTGTATTACTACATTCTGATTTCTGGGCTAAGCAAATGCTGGCATAAATGAGTGATTTTAATTTTAATTTTAGTTTAAGTTTCTGTGAATTTGAATTCGTTTCAAAATTTTTATCCAGCACCTCGTCGGATATACCGAGACCAGCAAATTCTACCACCAGCCGTCCAGTCTTGAAAGTGATTTGGTTCACTCCCATAGGTTTTTTAAATGTGTTACGTAAGATTACTGATCCTATTAAATTGAAAGTTGTAGCGTTATATCTGTTGCACTTACATTAATTTCGTCCATATGAAGGTACAACTAACTGTTTTTATAGATAAACATTCAAAAATATACAAAATAAAAAATAAATTGTTTTTATGGCTAATCCCCGTGGACAATGTTCGTAGCATTCGTGGACATCCATTTTTAGGCACTAACCAATTAGTTTGTAAAATAATGCAGGGTAAACCATGGAAAATATACCAAAAAGGTATTTCGTATTGTCTTAAAGTTTTTCTCTCGTAGAAAAAATACATAATGTTATTTTTGTTATTCCCTTACGACGCACAAACGCCGTGTTAGCCGGCATGTGAACGCGTTCTTTAAAACCACGCGCCAACCATTTTCGCATTTAAATCGATTCGATTATATTTTATTGTTGCAATAATGATACCAATAATAATAATAATATTTTTCGCAAACATCGGTCGACTACGGGTTGTACAGGAACGTGTCGATTACCTAATAATATTTTACAGATCATTCGCATGCACCGTTGTCAGACGTCTATTTTTTCACTTAACATCGACGTTCCAGAATACTTGTATTGTGATTTACACGATAGGTATCATATTATATATTATAAAATACGAATGACGGCGAAATAACAATAATAAAATACCATTTCGGTGAGGGTATTCATTCGTGTGATTTACGCGCGTCACTATATATCGTAATGTATAATATTATTTAAATGATATTATCGCTCATTGTCTCGAATCCATATTATAATATTATTTCGTTTGTTTTTCCGGTTACATTATTGTATTGTACTATTTCTCGGGAGTCGGATATGTGGTTAAACGATTTATATTGGACTCAAATTTTCATATTAATTCATAATTTTATATAATGTAGATTCCTCGGTATTCTGGTTAAAAACGAACACGTTTCATAACACCCTAAATAAAACAATAACTATAGGTATTCATTATTAAATATTTTACGAATAAATACATACTTCGAATTTTTATACTTGCCTTATCACATACATAACATTATGTTGATAATAATCATTATTCTGCGGGAAATATGTTCAATCTGTCATAAATCTTAAAAGTCGACGTCGTAAATGAGATGAAATGGGTAAACGAGTTTTTAAGCCAAATGCCATTCTGTTATACAGTCTATTACCATAGTGAATATTAAATTGTTCTAGTTCGTTCATTTGTTTTTTCTATTCAGTTCTATTCTTTTATATAATTCAAATTTTTAAAATGAATGTTATATAAAAACTTTTTGTGCAATATTTCATGTTTTTTAATACATATTTTGGCAAATAATGACAACATAAATACTCATTTATTTTGACTTTATTATTTTATAAAAATCCACGTCCTAGTTATTAATTTTTAATAGTCGAAATTGACTGTTGTCATTCAAATACTATACCTATGAAACTAAGGCAGGGGTGGCATTAAGGACACTTGTTAAAGAGGTGGAATTTTGTTGTCATCATTATGGGAAAAGGGCCCTCAAAATTAAGTTTTGCCTAGGATAAAAAATCACTAGAGCCGGCCCTGAACTAAGCGATAATAATTATTATACTTTCCGTTTCTATATTATGAATTCTGCGGAATAGCATTTTGCTGGTACGACATATAACTTCGGAGGATTACTTGTACATTAGTCACAACACGCATTAATATAATATTATTATTTCATCTAGCCCCTAGTCGAATTGATTAGGGTAATTATATTCGCATCTATGATTTGCAAACTACAACAGGTGTAATGCCCACTGTACAAATATTATTGTAGAATAACACTCATGAAATTACTGTAAACTTTGATTCCCCGTAATACAGGTTTAATAATGATAATAATATAATATTGAGGTACATTACCTCTGCCTAATATGTAAACACACAAAACTTTCCTGATATTCCCTTAAAACAAATCGTAAAAAACTCAATATATTTTATGAATGTTTGGGCACCATCATAAAATAGAGTAAGTTTCGTGAAAGATGTATAGGTTAGGTTTTCAGGTATTCAGTGGCAAGGTTAATTTTGTTTTATATTCCATACTCATATTTATATTTATCGTATAATGTCCCAAAACATAATGTATTATAATTTATAAAATACATCTTTGAAATTTGTCGCTTTCGCTTTAGGCGTTGGGTGAGCACCTCGTGAGA